ATAAGCGTTTTTTTAAAATAATTTTTCATTGTATTTGGCATAAAATATTTAAATTTAATTAATTTTTCATGATTTCACGTATTGTAGATAGAATACATCGTATGTCGCAACCCCTTTGATGCATCAAACCTTTCCACTGAGTTCTTTTGTTTGGAATGCCTAATTGTAGCAACGTTGGAATGGGAGTGGTATATTTCCATCAATCTATCAATGATGAACTAACAATGTTGTCTTTGTCAATTTATGGTTATTTCCGATTAGATATGAAAACAGACAGCTGGATTGTGGAAACTGAAGAGTTAAGTCAATTATTTATTTGTTATATTGTGGGAAAAACTGAAAAAATAGGCTTTTAGAAAAATATAGTTTCAAATTAAGGTATATTCAAATAAAATTATAAATACAAATTTAAATCCAAACTGTCAATTGTTATTTTTTTCAATGATGAATCACGAATAAAACGAATTCAACAAATTGATGGGAAAGAGACATACGCAATGAAACAAGCCAGGATGGGTTAACATAATGAAACTTGGGTGAAAAGTAAGTCTATATGGTTGTAAATGATTAATAGTTGACCAATTAGAAATGCAACCCCATTAATGTCAAAATATGCCAGGCAATGTTCAAAATTTCAAAGAAATGTATGTTGGTGACGATAGAAAGAAGGGACTTTTAATGTGTCATACGAAAATATTGAGAGACCTTCCTACGTCCCGTTTTAGGTCTACAGAATTGTACAAATTTGTATCTTTTAGCACTTTTGGGTGAATCTATTCATATAAAAAAAAAACTAAATAGTTTAAAAAAAAAAAAAAAACTTTAGAATCTACCAGAAACGATCAAATCCAATTTATAACTCACGGGTGGCGCAAAAGCACCTTCACAATTTTTAATTTCAATAATTATTTCTGAAATTAATATTCATCGAGTTTCTCTTTATTAGATTAACCTAAATACTTGGTAGTTACGATATGGAGCGATACACGACTGTAGAAATGATAAATATCGTAACTTTTTATTTAAAAAAAGGAAGAAGCATTTCTACTCAGATAAACTTTCGATGATATTTTAATGTCAGATATGCCTCTTCTAACCATAATGTATTGCAACTTGTTACCAAATTTGAAGATACAGGCTCAGTAGGAGATGCAAGGCAAGAAAACCGCGAACACAAGATATGCGAAGTGTGCAAGAAGTGTTCAAGAAGCACTAGCAACTTCAACAAGACATGCTTTGCCCATTTCCACATACTTACGAATAAAATCCAGCTGGTGCAACAACTGAATAGAATACAGCTGAGTCACGTTAAATCTTGCTAACAGAGAAAGATTTTGTAAACAAATTGTGGATGTCAGATTAGGAATGTGGCTTTGTAATGAGACGAAATCACTAAAGTTTCCTTTAGTTTAATTATAAAAATGTTTTGTTTAAATTAATTTCCGCCTATTAGCGTTCTCAAGAATCCCCGAATTTTTATTTCTTAAAATTCCCGTTTTTGAACATTTGCGAGAGCCCCAGTAGTTCAAAATATATAATTCTTTACTGTTGAACGCTCAAATTCAAGTAAATAATCTGGTAATTTTCGCAATTGTCAAAAGAGCATTTTTAAGTCCTCCATTTATAAATATTGGATACTCCCACTCCGAACTACTCGGAAACCGAACTAGTCTGAGCGTAAAATATAAAGGCGAGATCTCTGCGAATTCTTTCTCTTTCCGCTGCTCTTTTCCAGTGCCAGTTTCCGAATTAAAACCGTTACCGCCAATATGGTAATTTTAGTTTTTTTGCACCGAATGTGTGAAAGCAGTGGAAAATATAAGGTAGGATTCTTTCATTATTAGCCTTTAACAATAGGGTTTAATTCGTTATCCTCTGGGTCGACACTCGCTTGTTAAATATTAGCAAAATAAATAATTTGTTATAGACTGAGAAAATTAGCCTTTAATAGGCTCGAATTTTATACGTTTTCTGAACTTTCGTAAGAGAGACCAGTCTAGTAATATTAATTGTAGTCGGGTTTCAACGACGTAACTTCTTAAAGCTGACATAATAATTAGTTTATTAACTTTGTAAGGAATAGTGTTTTGTAAGTTCTGAAGTTACGTAAGCGAAGAAAATCCCGCTTATTGTAGTCTTATTTCGCCGACTTAATGTTTCATCATCCAAGGTCCCCCGAGTCAATAGAACCTTCGCTACTCCGGCAATCAGTGAAATCTTTAATTCGCTACCTACCGTCGATCACGAAATAACGTTGCCCCCTTATCCGTCACTATATCAACTGTATTAAACTGCATCCCTTGGATAATAATCTTTTAATTGAGGACCGATACTTAAAATTTTAAGCAAGCTTATTGTTTCTGAAAATCCCACCATAATCCTTGGGCTAACACTGCTCGACTAGAGCCGCTTTTTTAATTTATTGGCAAGAAAATAATTATGGGTTTTCGATAGTAATGCCGAGTGAAATATTTAGGACGTTTTCCGCCGTCATATTCAACCTGTTTTTTTTGTAATTCATTCCGACACGTCGGTTATGCTGGTAATTAACTATTATTTGGAATACCGTGAGGATAGCTGTTTTACATATATTTATTGGCCAAAAGTTTTCGCAAAACGCATCTATATACAGGGTAGGGTGTGTTCTAAAAATGATTTTAATTCTTTTATTTTATTCCCTTGAGGCTTTCCTTTTGTAAATATATTGACATAGAAATTCCTGACATCATCAAAATTTTTGCAAAAAAATTAATTAGGCAGGAGTGATGTAGTTTCTGGAAATCAAAATTAAAGTTGATTTTTGGCAATTTGTCATATGAGAAGAAAATTGTTAGAAAAAAATTAAAAACAGTCAAATAGAAAAGTAAAAAGGTTTAAAAAAGTATAGATGATAAAAGTTGATAACTGTTATATGGTGCAGATAAAATAAAAGAAAGGTAAAGAGAGTTTTATTTCGATAAAAATAAGGGTGACTTGAATAAAAGAAATTGCACAGCAGTAGCAGAAGTGTAGATTAGTACAGGTTAATATAATACAAATAAAAACATTCAAGAAACAGGCAGAGCAGTGAAAGGTATAGGATGCAGTAGAGACAAGGAGTGAGCGGAGGCAGGTGGGAACAACTAATAAGCGGAGGAGTGAGAAGAAAAGTTTCAAGAGAGAAGAAATTTAAAATTTGTTAATTTTTTTTTATAACATTTGGCATTTATTTTTTCCAAATTTTTAGTACCAAACCACCCTTTTTGGGAGTCTGAGCTAAGTTGATATATAAGAAGTTTCTATATCAATATATTCTTTAGGTTATACTGTTAATTAACCTGGAGGCCTCAGTGCTGATTCGTTCTATTGCTTTGTTTTGTATTTACTTCCACGAAGTTTTAATTTAGTAAATATATTTTATTTTCTTATTTTTTTTTTATGTAAGCATTTTCACTAGATTCAATTATTCTGTTAAGGTAGTTCACTCGTAAAACGGCTTTTCTTAAGAATTCAATAAAATTGAAATATAGGGTTTATGAAAGTGTCGTTTACGTAACTAAAAAAAATTAGAGTTTTTGACCGTCTGTGAAACGAGATATTAACATTCAAAATGTGCATAATTAACACTCTTGAAGCCTATCATGTACACAAGCAATGCATTTATTTCAAGATATCTCGAAAACGGTTCTTACCATATTTTTTAAAATTTTTTATAAATAATCGCTGAATTTTTTGCACGTATTAGTAAAAAGATATAGATTTTTAAAATAAAAATATTTTTAAAGCAGTTGACGAGTAGTTTCGTAAAATTATTACAACTTGGCAACATTGTAACCACTTCACGTAACAAAGTAACACTCGATCAGCTAAGAGGTTGTTATAAACTCGCGACGTGTTCTTGAAAAATTAATTCGTCCACTGTGCTTGAGAACTGGAATCAGCGGTTCTGTTTGAACCAAAATAAACCCTTAAAAATAGTATGAGGAAGTTACAAATTTCTATACCATATCGTTTAAATATTTGCGAGAGTGCCGGATGAATTCGATTAAAATAATAATATGTCCATATGTGTTTATATACATGTGTTTTGTACAGTCTCTTACAAAAATAAAATTGATTAGCATTGAGAAATTCGAACTTTTGGTATTCACCATTACGCGATATTTTTATGTACGACTGTCGCGAGTGAATTACCTTAATTAATTTAGAGCTTCACACCGATTTTTAGGAATTTCCGCCTTTACCGATTATATTTAATTTCTTATTTTTATAAAAAACATTTTCACTAGTTTAAGTATATTGATAATTAACTGAGAGCTCTTCTGAGCTTATTTAAAGCATCAGTCTTACTGATTTATATTTTTTTTGTATTTGATTGTATATAAAGACAAAAATTATTTGGGTTTCGTATTGCTCCACCGTTTGAAATATATTATTTGTATAAACTGTCTGTGTGGATATTACTAGTGTTAAGGTTTTTATTTTCAGGTATACCCCATTTGTAAGTGACTGCCTTGAATTCACTTACTTCACTGAAGCTACTTTAAGTGCATTCTAGGTGTACTTGAGGGTCGCAGAGCAAACTGCGTTATCAAAACTGGCGCCCGGGCAACCCTTGTTCTTAATTATAGCCTGGTGCCACCCACGACTTCCACTTCACAAGTGAAACAGGAAGAAGTATCACAGTAAAACAAGGAAAATTCGCGGATCTCACTGCTCTAGATTATTTCTTTGGGGTTATCCCAACGAAAGAATTTATATAAACAATCCTCAACATGGAGAGAGATTTTGGGGATATCTCCAGAAACTTTACGGAAGATCATGCTAAAAAGAGCTCATATTTGTTATCTCGAAAGTGGACATCATTTATCGTAAATAGTTAAAAAAACTTCAATAAACACAATTTGTATTATGAGTTTCAAAATACACAAATATTCATAACTTTTTTTTTATTTAAAAAATCGTGAAGGTTCTTTTGCGCCACCCTATATTAGCTTTAATTAGTCATGAAAATATCTTACAGCACATATTGCCTCATGGTATTCTGCAGCACTTTATTCCTGGGGAAAACGGCCACTGGTAACCCGATAGGTATTTCCGTGATATCGGCGGCACTGTCCCAGACTTGACCAACGATCCTGTTCACGAGATTATCATAACGCTGCTTTTCCGAGGAAATGTTTACCAAGACTTCACCCCAAAGATATGCGCCTACTGAAAAACCGTGCAATACCAACGGTGAGTAGCTGGCATTGACGTCTAAGAACCTTAAAAGATCTTTGGCTACCACCTGAAACAATATAAATAGGTATAATCATTTAGAATAATAATAAAAAAATTAACCAATACATATTTATTAGTCAGGTTTAATGGGGACGCGTCCGGCAAGTACAAAGAAAATTCAGGAGTTCCACAAGGTTCTAAATTTGGACCTTTACTATTTACAGTATTTTTAAATGATTTGCCAAATGTAATTCATAATAATTAGAATTGTTTGTTGTTTGCTGATAAATTTGAAGTTTTCAAACAAGTCCAAACAGTTAAAAATTGTGTATCATTGCAGAAGGATTTGATCATTATTTATAAAAGGAGTTGTGAAAATAAATTATTATTTTGTAATATTAATAAATGTAGCATTTTAACGATAACTCGTGTAAAAGATCGAGTTCTTTTTTGTATGAGATAAATGGAGACATATAATAATGTATTTTCTTTTTGTCATACACAAAATATTATTTAAGTCTACCAACCGTATTTTAGAATAGGTTATAAGGCAAACTAAGGAATTTAATCCTAAGTTGATACATTTTTAAGAGTGTATAGAAACCGTTAAAATAAAAATCTTTTTCAAATAATTTTTTAAAAAACTCAAAAATAAGAATGACAAAGAATTAATAAATCTATATCCGGGCCTGAAGTTGTGTACGAAAAATTAAACGAATTAATAAGTGTCTATATTTGTTTTTTGGTTTTTCTTACGAATATGAATCACGAATATTGCAGTGGCCTCATTTCATTTAGTAGGTCAGTATTGTGTTTATCTGTTCAGTATGGTAAATCGAAAATTAAATGCATTTAAAAAAACACATTTTAATTAATAATATTGACAAAGACTTGTTGTTGGATAAGTGCGCGATTGAATGATTGCATATCAGGTGGGATAAGTTAAAGAAAAATGTGGACAACTGCGGGAAAATCAATTGTATCCCTTTCACGTTGAACTCGAACATTTTCCCCGCAGAGTTAATTTTTGGTTCTTACGACACTTGAAAGTAATCAACATTTTTAGACGATAGTTATTGGATACATTTTGGACTTAATAATTATAAAAATTTCTTATTTTTGAGTTTCTTCGAAAAAGTTATTTGAGAAAGTTGTTTATTTTAATGACTTCTATAAAACAGTTTTACTATACTCTCCTTTTGTGAGATCAAAACTCGAATTAGCCCTAGTAGTCTGGAAGTAAGTCAAACGTTGTTAAAGGTACAATTTGGAAACGCGAGACCGATGCAAGCGACCGCGTCAGACAGCAAGGCAGTAAACACTGTTCCGAAGCCAGTGTTGTAAGTGCTGTCGCGGTCTCTTACATCGGTCGCTCGTTCCCATATGTGCTTCATATAATTACAGACGTAAACAGTCCGTTTTCGGTCGACTTACGCGTTCGCTTGTCTCTGTCTCGCGTTCCCAAATGGTACCTTAAAGAGTGTACATGTACAAAACAACTATTTGACCGTTAGAACCATTGATCTCAGATCCAAATTTAATGTGTTACCCTTATCAAAGATCAAGGACACACTCTAACAAGCATAATTAATGTTTGTGTATAAAATAATCAATTAAAAAAGTGGATCATAAAGTGGTGAAAAGAAATATCAGTATGAACCAAAATAGATTCTGTTGGCCGCAGTAGAAGGATACTTTACTCTCTCACTCATCTATGACCTAACCTAACTAAAAGTGGAATAAACCATTGCATTACTTTGTAATAGGTGAGCAGGTACCTGCTAAAATAAAAATTTCTATAAATTGTTTCGAGATAATAATTATGTTCTTTATTAATTACATTCAAAAGTACTGGACAAGAAATGGTTTAATAGTACATTCCAACAAAATAACAGACTGTACTTTCTCCAAGGCCACAGTAGGAGTTCAATATAGTAAAATGAAACTTTGAACAAAATGAAATATTTAATCTAACTTATGTTGGGCAAGTTTAACTTAAATCATTTGCATAATTTGTCAGTTTAGAAGAAGTATTACCAAATTCTATATCAGGTTCATTATATTCACCCATTTTTTAAATTTAAGTTCGATTCAACAAGCGTCGCTTACTGTATTTTATTACGTTACGTTTCAGGCGAATTCAAACTAAATAATACGTACGAAGTACTATCAATCATGAAATTCATGGCTATCTACGATGCAGGCGTCATATTCACAGCCACTGGCCAGTAGCTATTACAGAATGAACTTTCTCTGACTAGAGAAAATGAAATACATGTAAAATACATAAGAGAAGTGTTTCAGAATGTTCTTTCAATTTCAAAACAGAGAATGTTTTCTTTCTGTTATTATAAGTGCGGTTTCGGATGAACTACATTCAATAGTGGCGGGGGAAAACATTATTTATATATATTATCAAAATTGTTTACATCTCTATAATTTTTTGACTATATTGAAATTTGATTTTACAAAACAAACGATTTGTTTTTCAAAATATCTAACATAAGCTCATTTCTTGAAGTAAAAATTAAGGTAATTAGTCATAGGCTAAAATGGTTATTTAACGAACAAGTGTATTAATAAGGGCGATTAATAATCGAGATAATTTAACGCGAAAGCAGAGGGAGCGCGTTAATGTTCGAGATTGTTAATCGCCATTTTAATTCACGAGTTCGTTACAGAACTTTTCCGTCGACCGTACTTTTCAAAAATATTTGGACCATAAACTTGCTATTAGTTCTTTTTCAGCAATATTTGAAAAATATGCCAACAGCACAGATTCTGAATATCGTATTATTTCTCTCTCGTCACACCATGCAATAAATTCGGCGTATGTTTTCTCGTTATAACAGTTTGCTTTTATCAGGCAATAAACTTAACGATATTGCATTCGCAGTTTCTGCCACTTCTGGTGGAGTTAAATTGAATTCTTCGTCTATATCCATCTTTTGATTTTAAACTATACATAGAGTTTTTGTATTTTAAGAAATTAAATAATGACATACAATGAAAATGAGATAGTATTAACACACCATCTTGATTTCAAATGTATATGTATGTTTGGTTGCCTACACCATAGGTAACTGTCAATATAAATGTATAATAAGAGTAATGTACCTTGGGTTGCATATAATAAAATCATTGATTAATAGAAAATCCTTCATTAATAGGGGTCATTAATCAACGATTTTGAGTGAGGTAAAATACATCATAAATGGTCGGTCGACGGAAATTTAATTTTAAAACAAATTTGGGTTAGACTGATTCTGATCAAGTAATCTTATTTATATGAGTGAGCAATCTAATGGCGGCTTGTCCTAAGGGGCCAAAGGGCCTTGGCACTGGCGCAAAATTTGTAAATATTTCGGTCTCAAAAAATATTTCTTTTTATATTAATTACAATAATTATTACAATTGTCGGATCAAATTATGGATAAATGATATATTATATAAATTATTTATCATTATTTAATTTGATCCCGTTGAAAAAACTTGCGTCGTATTATTCCTAGACACAACAAATTTAATAATTAAGCCGTCTATCCGAGCACACCGACCAGTGGCTCGGCTGCTTACATATCAATACATTGCAAACGTTTACTAAAGGTCACTCCATTCGCCTGTATAAAGCGCTTCTTATACATTCAAACGGGGCCACGTTTCAAGCGGCTCGGAATTAATAGTTAGAATAGTATTGTTTCAATCGCGTGGTCGGCGAGTTCGGCGTATTGCTTTTGACATTTTATGCGGGCTGAATTTTTGTTTGTTAGGTAGTTAGTTAGAATAGTTGAGTTTTTAAAGTATAATAAATTAAAAATAGTCCGAGAGTCCGAACCAAAATGAATAAAATAAGCATTCTGTTACTGAAACTTTTTTCCACGCACTCGCTCGATGAAAAAATCCAAATAAAGGAACTTGGGAGACCTCTTCCCGATTTGAAAATAACAAAAACGCAGAAGGATTCCACCTCAAGTTCATCAAACTTCAAAGGCCGGATAAGAAAGTTTAACCAAAATTTGTACTTAAAAAATAACTGGATTTGTGGATGTGATGAAAAAACGCGTTTTTTTGTTTTGTGTATGTTTTGTTCGGGGGCGATTCTTCGTGGACGATGCATGGTGTAACTGATTTGGTACACATTTATGAGAAAATTAAAATACATGAAAACAGTAAGGCACATGTAAATACATTTTTAGTTATTCTTTGCTTGGAAAATCAAATATACTGACTCAATTAAATTCGGCTTATAGACAAAATATTATTACCCACAATAAACAAGTTGATAAAAACAGATATATTTTAAACATCATTATTAACTGTATTAGATTTTGTGGTGCATTAGAATTAGCATTGCGCGGACATGATGAAACCGAAGAATCCAAAAATAAAGGAGTGTTCCGAGAATTGATAGATTTTAGTTCTAAATGTAGATTTAAAGGAACATTTCAACAAAGCAACAGTATTTAAAGGGACCTCTAAAGGTACGTTTACATCTGACACTTATTGCATGAGATTTATGTCTGACAGTTGTTTAGTCCAGTGTAAACACTCAAAAATATCTCTCCGAGAGAAATTTTTGTGTGTTTACACTGAACTAAACAACTGTCAGACATAAATATCATGCAATAAATGTCAGATGTAAACGTACCTTAAGACTATACAGAACGAACTATTGGACTGCATGCTTGGCGTTTACCATGAAGAAGTGGCTAAAGAAATAAAAAAAAAAACGAATTATGTAGCTGTAATTGCTGACGAAACTACCGATGTTGCTAACGAATTTCAATTAGTCATTATTCTACGATGCATTGCCTCCAGTAAGCCACTAAAAAGATTTTGGAAACTTGTAAATCCTCCCGGACACAATGCCATTTCAATAGCAAATTGCATTTTAAATGCAATTAATCCATTAATTAATGACACCAAATAAGTTGATCGCGCAGAGTTACGACGGAGCGTCAGTCATGAGCGGAGGTATGAATGGGGTACAAAAAATAATTAAAGATAAATATTCTTTAGCAAATTATGTTAATTGATATGCACATCAGATTAACCTTATAGTGAGCA